TTGGGGAGTGCAGCCGGGCAAGGAGAGGAGCGGAGACCCGCTGTGAGGGGTCTCTGTGGTGCGGGAGGATTTTCGCACTTCGCTCCTGCGCCTGCGGGTCTCTGGGCTCTTGTTACCCGAGAGATGTCGCTCTGCAAGCTGACAGCTCTGACCTCTTCCACCCAAGCCTTTCTCTTTTATTAAGAACACTTCGAGTTTTCCCGAGGTGTCTCGCTGGGCTCAGTGGAAGGGGCTGCCAGGCCTCTCTGAGGTCAGTGCCATCTTAATCATCACAGAATCCTAATCAGAATCACAGACTGGTTTGGGTTGGAAGAGACCTTAAAATTAATCCAGTTCCATCCCCCTTCCACGGGCAGGGACACCTTCCACTAAACCAGCTTGCTCCAAGCCCCGTCCAAGCTGGCCTTAAACACTGCCAGGGATGGGGCAGCCACAGCTTCCCTGGCCACCCTGTGCCAGCACCTCAGCACCCTCACAGGGAAGAACTTTCCACATTCTTTTCACTCTCCTTTTTATTTGTTTGTGAACTGGGATCACAAATACTTCTCTTAAAGTGGCTGTAATTGTTCTCCCTTTGCTTTGAGATATTCTACTTTTCTGCTCAGAGTTCAGTGGACTCCCTTCTGCCTGTAAAACACTTGCGGTGAACAGCAGCAAGCTTTGGAATCAGCTGTGCAGCGCTCTGTACTTGAAAGACTGAAAGAAGTCAGAGCAGTGATGGGGAGCACATGTTTCACAAGCAGTTTCTGAGCTGAAGGGATGCATCATGTTTGGAAAATGATTGGATTTGTTTCTGTTCTCTCAAGGTGATTTGCCTTTCCCTGAAGTAGCTTTTCTTGCTGGTTGAAGCAAAGGAGGTATTTACTGAGTGTGACTTCTTTCTTTTAATTTCTCATCTTTCCTGTTCATTCTTGTTATACCTTCTCTGTCATCACTAGTGCATACAACAGTTGAGAAGAAAAGGAGCTATTGTACAGTAAGTCAGGCAGTAAGGAACCTGTTCTTGTTCTTAGCAGAAATCACTGCCTGGGTAATAGCAGATAGATTTGAAAGAAGTAGACTTAAGAAGATGAAGAGCAAGAGTACATGTTTGTTAACTGAAAGCCTCTGAAAATCTTGTTAGGATGTCAGAGCAAAGGGAAACTAGGGGGTCCTTCAAGACTTATGAAAAAGAATAGAAGCAGCCTTGTGAATTGCATGTGTAGAGCTGGTCTTGTCTGGCATCAAGTTGCTGTGGTCAGGGCCCTCTCTAGTTGTGGTTTATGTTATACCCTGGGTTTCACTTACAGATATACCCAGCAGAGGCTAGTGTAGCTGCTTCCCATGAAAAAGGGTTTGCAGTATAAGGTGCAGGTGGCTATGAACAGTGTTATGTTACTCTGGATGCTCTGCAGTCCAGTGACAAGAAACACACCCTACTCTAAAGAGCTTAAGCTCTCACAGTGCTTCATTACTTATGCTGGGTTTGGTGACTGTGAAAACATTATCTACTGCCCCAGTCTCTCTTGATGCAGTTTTCTCCTAGTTTTAGCAGACATCACCCTTTGCTTTGGTAGCTCCTTGCTCTTTTCCCATGCCATGCCTTAAGCAAGGGGGAGCGGCATAATCAAACCATTGAGCTCCCTTCTGGGGCATGTATACAGGCTGCCAATGCCAGTGTGCTATGGAGAAGTGTCCTTGCTGGATCCTTCAAACCATGCTGAAATCTCTGCTGATAACCAGGTGTTCCATGGGCTGCCCCTGCTCATGTGGTGTTTATCAGGGAAGTGTTTTGTTCAGTAGAAAGTAGAGTCCCTTGGTGCAGGTGGTGGTAGGAGCAGGAGGAGTTCAGTATCTCAGCTCTGATTATTCCTCTGTTCCTGCTCTTTAAAAAGGCAATGAACACAACCACACTTCTTTCCCTTTGAAGGCCTAGATCTACCAGGTTAACATTTTGGTTTTGTTCATCTACCCACTAAACACTGAGCCTCTTCCTTTCTTTTATGCCTTCGGGATTGTGTGCAGGCAGCACCTGTGCTTGTCTGGCTCCCACTGAAAAAGAGTGATGGGCTGAGCCCCTTCCTGAACTTTGGTGCACTGTTGTTATGCCCATCAGCCCCAGGGGAGTTTTATCTCTTTCTCTTCCCCATGGAGTGAAAGTCACTATCCTGCTGTCCATAAAAGAGCAGAGATACTTACATGAGTCATTCCTGGTGCTGCAAATAGAGCAAAGAATGCATCATCTTTCTCTGACAGCCTGGATACTGCTTCTATAGTGAATGTTTTCCTCTTTTTTTGTCACAGAGGATAGATTGCAGTCAGTGGAAGTAGCTGCAACAGTACAAGCACCCACCATATGCTGTAGGATTAAGGTACAAATCTTAATCTTGTAGACACAGCACAAATGTGTTAGGTGGTTACAGGTTCGTGTTCCCTGGCCTGTAAGTTTCCTTGTGCTGAGTGCTACTGCTGTTGGCTCCATGCAGTGAGGTGAGCACTCAACTGGTCTTTGCAGTGGGATATGCTGTCAATGCTAGGCTTTTTGTGAGCACAGTAGTTCATGATTTAATAAGTCTGTTCATAAAAAGGCAAATTTTAAATATTCTTCTGGCAAGTGAGTAATGGTTGCAGTTATTTCTGTAGGCAGCAGCACTCAACCTGCTATGTTAAAGCCTATTTGGTAACTGAAAGCTTGCCTTACTTTCAGAGGACGTGCCTCTTGTGCGCAGTCATGTTGGGGTTTGACGTGTGTGCCAGGCAGAGTGGAGCTCCTGGTCCTGGAGCAGCCATCTTGCAAGAGCTCCACAGCAGTCGTTACCTGGCAACAGTATTTGAAATTTCACTTTTGAAAACCAGTGAAAATGTCAAGCCAGGGTTTTGCTGAGACAGGAAGCTTTGACTTCAATGTGTAAGTGCCAGTGGAGTGGGCTCACTCTCCATGGGGATCAACAACTATTTACCTTGCTAGTGAAATAGCAGAGTCTCCTTAAACCCGTTACATCTGTCCCTTTCTAAAAGCCTTCAGAAGGCACAGAGGCCACCAGGCGACTTGTGCTGGGCCAAGTTGGTGTCAGGGCACATGCACTCGTCAGAGCACAGCTGGAATGGTGAACAAGGGGTTGCTTTGCACAGAACTCAAGTGCTATAAACTTCCAGGTGACTTGTCAACCAAGGGAAGAGTGTAAGGAATCCCATAGGCACAGCTGCACAGTTTCATAGCCAAGGTATGCAAACATCTGGATTTTGAGGTCGGTCTCAGTCAGAAGCCAGTTTTGGAAAGTGACAAATGTATTATGTCTCGCCAACCCCAGATGCACAGCTAACCACTGCACTGCTGGACTTCAGAGATTTCTCTGCAGGCATCAGTGTTGGAAGTGACCTTTCAAGAACACTTAGGTCTGGCACTTGTTTCAGTAATCTGAATTGCCAGCTTAGTCTTTCTGATCCAAGACTATCTTCTCCTTGAACCTGGCAAGTTCCTTGTACCTGTTTTTCTGGTCTGTTGGAATTGCTTGTGTAAGAAGAGCCACGACTTCACTTGTTTCTGTAGAGATAAGTTTCCTTCACAGGAGGTCTCTTAACACATCCTTTTTGGAGAAGAATACTTTTCCCAACAAATTTAGCATATTCTACATGATAGACTAGAAGGACCTGACAAAAACCATCTGGAGGTAATGTATTTCACACAGTGCTATTTGTTTTGAATGGATATTGTGCTCAGTTGGTCATGTTTTTCCCTAGGTTTGGTGAATGAGAACCAGAGACCATCAAATTCTTATAACGGAGATCTGAATGGACTGCTGGTGCCTGACCCCATCGTGGCTGGAGATGTACCTTCTCTGGCTAAGCCAGTGCATCGCACTATTTCTCTGGGAGCCCTGCAGGAGAAACAAGTCATGTAAGTTTTCGTGGAATACCAGACTGGTTTGTGTCGGAAGGGACCTTAAAACTCATCCAGTTCCAAAGCCCCTGCCATGGGCAGGGACACCTTCCACTAGACCAGGTTGCTCCAAGCCCCATCCAAGCTGGCCTTGAACACTTCCAGGGATAGGGCAGCCACAGCTTCTCTGGGCAACCTGTGCCAGGGCCTCAGCACCCTCACAGGGAAGAACTTCCTAAGATCTAACCTGAACTTCCCCTGTTTAAGTTTAAACCCACTACCCCTTGTCCTGTTGCTACATCGAAGAAAGGCTGAGAGTGACTAGAAGATGATTCAAAATTAGTTCTGGTGAGCCTGGACAAGCATGCTGGGAAGCTGATGAGTTTCACCTTTAGTTCAGGTAACAGCTGTAGGTCAGTGCTGGTGGTCAGATCTTTTGTGAGGCTGATGTGTGCAGCCTGCCATCCTTGCATTTCAGGAACTGAAGAGTATTGGCAGAGCTGTTTAGAGAGAAGGGGAACGGGACTGGCTGTATGATGGACATCAGGAGTCAGAATCTAGGTTAATTAGCAGGTCACTGGGTGAAACTTAGCATTTAGCATTCTCACATAGACCTCCAGCTAGACTCCTTCTGGGTCCCAAGTTACCTGAGGGGTGACTTTTATCAGTCTGCAGTATGATAGACCTTGCACTTGGCCAGGTATTTCTCTCCATATAACTTAAAAAGGACAAGTGATCCTGAGCTAGAGTTCTACCTAACTGTTTGCTGACTTGTGGATATACATCAGTGTGTTTTGGACAGTACCTGTGCTTTTAATGCTTGTATGTTAGAGAACATATGCGTATAGAATACTTTGGATTGTCATAGGAGTGATAATACAAATTCACATCAGAGTAATGAGTGTAATGCTTGACTTCACATGCTGACTTTTAACATTAGAGCTCATATAAATAGCTTTTGCTTGGGTTCTCTGCTCACAGTTTTGAGAGGGGGTGCTGCATGCACTGTTGATGAGGTTCAACTGTTTGGCTTTGGTCTCTCTGCACCTTCTAATTTTGGGTAGTAGTCAGGGCTACCTCAACCAAATGTAGGTTTGTGCTCAAGTCTAATAGACTGGAGGTTTTTAAGCTGAACAAACCAGGTGTTTGGTGCTCTCAAACCTGTGGCACGTGGGGAAGGGACACTCCTAACTGAAAGTAGTTTCTTTTAATTTTCAGTTCTGCTCAAACTTCCTAGTTGCATAGATACTCCTCATTGCTGTTAAAATTATGAGAAGCAAATATCTGACCTCTTTTCGCTTCCTGTGAGTCCTGTCTGATATTTTTTGTCCCCTTTGTTTTAATTAAAGCTGCCTTTCTGGTGATGACAGTTCCACTTGCATAGTGATAACAGCAAAAGATGTGGAGGTAGTAGCCAGCAGTGATTCCAGCATCACCAGTAAGGCCAGAGGGAGTAACAAGGTAAGGAGGAAGAAAAAGGATGGTTCTGTCTATTTTTTTTTCTTAATCACATCAGCTTGTGCTTGAAGATTGTTTAAACAGAAGTTACCATCTTCTTTCCTGTGTTATAGGAGTCTGTAATTAGGTAGAAGTTTGTCAAAGAGCTTAACAAGGGGGAAAAATTGTAGGTGTATCTTGTAGCTGATTGTTACTGTTATTCCAGAGGCTGGCCAAATTATCCTCTAATCTTCTTCCTTCGCAAACAAGCTCTTCCTGCTGGTTGTTTCTTCCCGGGCAGGGCTTCTCTATGAAGGGAGGGCTGCTTTTGAAGGTTTGCTAGCCTCAGTCCTGCTGAGAGCTCCACCCAGCAGATCAGGGCTGCGGGTTCTGCTGAGATCAGAACTGGTGCTGTAGCAGAGTGCTAAGATGTGCTCAGAACAAATGCTAGGAATTAGGAGAGAACTCTGGTCTTGATCTCTCAGCCCTTTTCTGTATTATACCATTTTGTTCCTTACTGTGCAGTGAATTAAGGGACCACAGAGACAGTAAATGAACAGTGTACTGTGTTATCATATGAAAAACAGTATGTTTTTCATAGATAATACTGGTGTAAGGGAGGATCACTGCCATAGTTCTCATAGTATTTCTTAATTCTTTGCTCACTGAGGCAATGTTTATTGAGTAAGACTAGGACTCTGTTTCTTGGACAGCAGTATTAAAGCTAAAAAGCAAGTGTCCATGCAGCAAATGTGTCTCCATATTTCAGAGAACTTTCCAAGAACTGGGAATCCAGACCCAGTTCTCATAAAGAGGTAAAGTCTGCTTTGTTGTAATGTGTTCTGCAACATAACTTCAGTGAGCTGTGTTCCTTTTTGCAATGGAAGGAAATATTCACCTGCTTCCAGAACTTTAAATGTTCAGGGCTCTGCTACCTGGCATTCAGTGTGCAATTCTTCCTACCAACTGCTGCTTCCAACAGTTTCCTATTAAGCATTACAGATGTTCCCTGGAGGAAAATGTATATTTGGTGGGTTTGTTTCAGGGAAATGTTAATTCCAGACATTCCTCATGTTTTGTTTTCTTTATCCTGAGCAGGTGAAGATACAGCCTGTTGCTAGATATGACTGGGAGCAGAAGTACTATTATGGCAATCTGATAGCAGTTTCAAACTCGTACCTGGCTTATGCCATTAGAGGTGAGATACCTTCTTGTCTTGGGTGTGATTTGTATTCTTTTGCTTGTATATCTCTAAAAGAGGCAAAGTTTGCATCAGAAGGAGGTAACTGGCAGTAATTGAAACACATCTTGCAATACCCAGTTCAGGGTCCTATTCTAGTGGGAATGTAAGTGAAGCTGGAGCTACAGGGCAATGAAGAGTAGGTCATGTAGGAGAGCTTCCAATGAGAAAGAAACCTTCTGTGAAGTTAGAAATAAAAGAAAGAGAAGGACTCCGTGGGGATGGAGGAAAGGTTGGACTACATTGGTTTCACTGGACAGTAAGCTGATGTTCAGCTTACTCCTCTGATTAAATATTTCTGCAATGAACAAGCTTCTCAGTAGCTAAGCACAGAAACAGTGCTGTGGTAATATGAGCAGGAAAATGTTTGTGACGGACTTGCTTGCATAAATTTAGAGTTGAGTTTAAGGCTAAATTTAGAGGAGCCAAAGAGCAATGCAGCGTATTTTGCAGTGGAAGGAAGAGCAAAGCAGAACCATGCAGGGGAAGACTGTTTCACAAATACAGGAAGCAAATGAACACTTGGTCATCTGCAGTGTCTCTTTCTGCTCTCATGTACAAACACAGTGTTTGGGGCTCCATCAGCTCTTCACTTGCTTTTAATGCTAGCACCCATCAGTTTGTCGGACCTTCTATGAAGTCTTCTACTTGCTGCTGTGATTTTTCCTAGCTGGGGTTATTTTAGAGCAGTTTTAGGGTATCTAACCCTTTTTTTTAAGGTATTAAAGCTTGGGTGCAGTAGGACTATGGAAAGCTGGATGGACTGCTTGCATTATAGTAATGTTTGTCCGAAACGGTGAAGTTGTAAACTTTACTTGCTATGCGCATGCTCTAAAGCATGGTCTTCTCAGTCATGCAAGCTAAAGAGCAGTGTTTTTTGCCAGGTCAATATATGTGCTTTTTACATTCCTCTTACAGAGCATGTATTTGAGCTACCTGCCTCTCACTGACTCCTTTTTTCCAGTTACTGAAAATGAAATTGCAATTAAACTTAATTCACTGTCACTGGAGGTCAGCCTTGGAGGTTTGGTAGCTTTATGATGAGCTCATGAAAAAGATTTAAGCCTTGCATTTAATGAAGGTATCTTTATGAGAATAATCCTGGGAATCATGAGAAATCTATTTCTGTTGCCTTCTTTTTAAGTTGGATAACTTAGAATTTGCAGTGCTTTAAAAACACATGATGTGTGGAATTGAGATGCCCCTTGCAAGGCAGACAAAGTCCCTCTTGGTGCTGTCACTGCAATCTTCTGCACCACAGAGGAAAAGTGCAGTGAATGTTTGTGCCTATCTTGAAAGGGCTTGTTAACATGGTACCTATTGTTACGGGTTTTCAGAGTGCTGCCAGGGACAGCTGATGGCAGGATGGGAGCTGAAAGCAGAGGCAAACCTGCAGAGAAACTGCATGGATAAATGGTGGCTTCTCCCTCTCTTTCCTGCAGGTGCCAGCAATGGCTCTGCTATGGTGCGGGTCTTGAGTATCAGCGCTGCTGAGAGGACCTTGCTGAAAGGATTCACTGGCGGTGTGGCAGATCTGGCTTTTGCTCATCTCAACTCCAACCAGCTGGCATGCCTGGATGAGGCTGGCAACCTTTTTGTCTGGCGCCTGGCCATGGATAAAGAAAAAATACAGTATCTTGTCAAAATAGACCTCATTTCAGTCTTTGTGTAATGGGTAGAGGTGAATGCAACTTTTAAATTGCAAATTCTTTTGTCGCTTTTCGAGAACAGCAGCTTTCAGAGGGAAGGTTGATAGTTTTGCCCCTTCCAGAGTATCGAATCAGTCAGCCTGTGCCTGTACTTGGTGAAATCATTATTTGAAATTGCACCCAACTTGAAATTCTAGGAGTGTACCTCAGTGCTCTTTCTGGTCCAGACGAAAGTAGTTGGTGAGAAGTGTCAGTCTGTACAAGCTGGCCTTACACATGGGCAGTGTCACCTCAACTGTGACAGAGTTTTTTTTACTCATGTTTATCCAATTCTAGCTCTTCTCCTTAGTTACTTTTCAGAGGAAGAGTATGTAAATATGTATACTTCCACTCGCTGTCTTCTTTCCAGATCTGTCATCCTTCTTCTTTTGGTGGTCCTGAAGCTTATTTTCCATGTTTGATTCATTGCCCTAAATAATTTCATTGCTAGGAGGGACTGCTCAGTCCTTCTGGGAAGTATGTCAGTCTGTGGGATATGTCATCATAGGTTATAACTTCTTAGTTTTAATTGTGTACCATCATTTTAAATGGAGCAAGGGTGGTTTTAGTTGAAGATCTGATCTGGAGGGGTGGACTAGAGCGCTTAGCCTATGCAATGTTGTAGCTTTGCTGTCTTTCTGTGGTAGTGTTGTGATGTTTACTGTAATCTATCCATCAGCAGCTGTGTGGATTGCACATTCAGATTGTTTGCCTGTTGTGCTTATCCTGTCCCTGTCTGCAGCCTGCAAGAGAATCTGTTAACTTTTATAAGCTTAACCTCTCCTGCCAGTGAAGAAACGCCACCTTGTCTACTTTCATAGCAGAATCGTTTTGCCTGGTTTCTTTTTGAATTGCAGTGATCAAAAAAATCTTGAGGTTTAATAGTATTTAACAGAGGACCAAGCCTGAATAGGTTACTGCTGAGCATTAGTAGCACAGCCAGCACGTTATGTTCCTTAACCATGGTGATCAGAGAGGAGATCCTGGTTAACATCAAGCGGCCTGACAATACCCCATTGAACACCTCTCGAAGAATCATCTGGTGCCCTTTCATCCCGGATGATAATGAGGAGAGTGGTGAAGAAGGAAGTCAGACATTGGCGTTGCTGCATGAGGACAGGGTAAGGAAACCTACTTGAAATGTTACCTGTTATTATCCTTAGAGGGAGAGAATCTGTTGAAGGAAAGAGGTGATATAGTTAGAGTTGTAAAGGCTCTTGTCTAGTCCATACTGGGGATCCTGCTGTAATATGAGATGTGGGATTCCTCTCTTCTGAGGAGAGGTCATTCTCTGGGTCTCAGGAGGATAGAAAGTGATAACTTCTGCTGGACTTCAAATAGTGAAGACCACTAGAAACAGTGCAGAGGGCCAGAGGCATCACTTGTATGCTCAGGCTGAGGCAGTACCTAGGGTACCTAGGTTTGGTGAGCAGCAACTACAGCTGCCACAAGTGGTTCCCTGTATGTACAGCTAGGTGCCAGGGAAGCATCTAATGGCCAAACCAGGTGGGAACAGGAAAGTTCATGTCACATACTTTTCATTGGGCTGGTATATCAGGATATAAAATAAGGATATAAGAAATTCTCCAGTAGTTGTAGAAATAAACCTCTGTGCCTGCATGTTTGTTTTCTAGGCAGAGGTGTGGGATTTGGACATTATCCGAACGAACAACAGCTCCTGGCCAGTGGAAGTGCCTAATATCAAAGAAGGCTTCATCGTAGTGAAAGGCCACAGCACGGTTTGAACCTATTTTGTTTTCTTTACTGTCATCCTGTAGGTGACCGCTACAGATCGGTACCAGTCAGTCAGGTTTTCTCTGAGTGTCTCAGGAGCTGTAGTTCTTAGGACACTTGGCTGTAAAAACCCCCAGTTTCTTACCCATCCACACTTGCCACAACCTGCTGGCTGTGTACAATGTACACACACTATTGGTATGTAGCTTTTGTTTAAAGAGCCAAGGCAAATGTGTAGTCATTTGCTTTGAAAATGGCTCTTGATAAAAGTAATCTGAATTTCCAAGGGCCTGTTTGATAACCTGGGCTGTACTTCAACTATTTTTTTATACCTGCTAGTATATGAAACACTTAACACTGCTGTGGTTCACTGCTGGATGAGAAGGGGAAAATTAAGCCCAGTGTCATCTTTATTCTTCTATGATCTCCCTAATGAGTATAGATGTATCTGTGAATACAGTGCACCAGTACTGAAGCTGATTCTCCAGTAGGTGATATTTTGAATATAAAAGAAACAATTGGAAAGAGCCCATTTTCACTTCTCAAATAGGATGATGACAGAGTAATTGTACAACTTAAATAAAACAATGATTATGAAATGATAATGATGGCGAAAAGCCAGAAGATCCCAAACCAAAGTGTTCATAACATGAGTAACAGTGGGAACAGTAGTAGCACAATCCATTGTACTTAAATTTGCTGTCTGGAAGAGGTGATTGTTAATTATTATTAAACAACAAAATGAAACCCTGGCAGTTCTTCTGTGAAGGGTTAAGCTGCCTGGTGACATGTCTATCAGAAATCACTCTGACCTGTACTGTCAAACTGTTAGTCAGATTCCTGTCTGAAGAGACTCTCTCTTCCTGTGAAATAAAAATACTATAACATGATCTTCTGTGTCTCTTTTTCCCTCTGTGTAGTGCCTGAGTGAGGGAGCACTTTCTCCAGATGGAACTGTGCTGGCCACAGCAAGCCATGACGGTTTTGTCAAATTCTGGCAGATCTATATTGAGGGTCAGGATGAGCCAAGGTAACTGGAGGATTAGAAAATAAAGGATCTTGGAACACAGAACAGCATTTTCTCTGTGAGAATTTCCTTGTTATAGAGTCACTTGCAATGATGATTCTCAGGACATTATAAAGATACAGGGTGAATGTTTGTGAAGTATTTTGGTGCCGAAGAGTTGTGTCATGGAATATCACACAAGGTTTGGTGAGCTTCTGCAAAAAGCAAGGAGCTATGTCTGGCAACAGGAGTTCTGTGCTTTGTGCAGCCTGTAGGCAAAGTCGTCTGCACTGTCCCTATAAATGCAGATAGGTTCTCTGAGCTATTCCTTTCAATGTTGACTTCTTTCATGCATTGTACCTTTGTTAAGACACCAAACCAAATGGCAAGTATGTTTATTTATTTATTGGTCACAATTCTGCCTGCTTGGGTTGTGATCTCCTTATTTTATAAGGCTGTAAACATCTACAGGTTGATAAATCTTGGTAGCTGCTGACTTTAATGCAGATTTTGGACAAGGAGTAATGTGTTCAGAGCCCACATCTTATCTTTCTTGCTTACCACTCCCTGCACACTTGGCTCTTTTCTCCGATTCTCTCCTAGGTGTCTTCATGAGTGGAAACCCCATGATGGTAGGCCTCTTTCCTGCCTACTCTTTTGTGACAATCATAAAAAACAAGACCCAGAGTAAGTCCCCAATCCTGTACTTTAGAGTAGCAAAGTTTAGTAGTGTCTTCTAACTCTGCCTTTGGAGGGTTCCTTGTAACTGTATTGTACTCAGAAAAAAAGCTTTGTGGCAGGAGCAAGTCCTGTCGTCTCTGTAGTCAGTTTTCTGGTGATGGAGAAATAAGTAAGGCTGTGGAGCACAGCCTAAAGTGACCTTAATTTTAGTGTCAGTCCCACAAAAGCAACAAAAATTGTAAATTGATGAGCCCTTTCAGGTTTATGGTATGGTCAGCTCAAACTGGCCTGTTATCTTCCAAATTTCAACTGCAGTTGATTAAGAAATAGGTTTGGGGATTTATTTCTTTGGGGCTTTTCTCTGTTTGGGGTTGGGTTTTGGTTTTTTTTGTGTTTGTTCAATTTTTATTCTTCAGGCAGTTGTGGCCTTAATGTTCTTGAGAGCTGTGGTGGTGCCTCAGAAGCAGAAATTTTCTGTGAACTTTTAAGACATGTTGAGGCACAATCAGCTATGGGCAGCTTGTGAGGAGCTCTTCTGTGAAATCTCCCTGAGGGAAGGACCTGACTTTCCTTAAGAAAACTTAATTCTGTGGTGCTTTCAGGGTTCCTTTCTGGAGATTTCTCATCACAGGAGCAGATCAGAACAGAGAACTGAAGATGTGGTGCACTGTGTCTTGGACCTGTCTGCAGACTGTCCGGTAGGTGTTGATGTGTTGACTCCCTGAAGGGCTGGATTTACTCTAAGCAGTGGATCATAACAAAGCTTTCAATTTCCAGGTATATTTACTTTGCAGAGGTGATTCTTGTTCCTCAGTGGAGTCTCCTCTAGCCCCAGTTAGAGCCTCCTCGTTAGCTTTCAACAGATAGGAGAGACTGGCAATCAGGGCGGTGGCAGACTGTCAGGTTGAGCTTCGGCAAGGCTGGAGAAGTTGATCCGTGTATACCTTGGTGTTACCAAGAGCAGTTGTCTTTGCTTTGTTCTGCAGAGCATAGACATACCTGTAGTGTGAGGAGAGGCATTCCAAAATTGCATACCTTGAGTGCTTTCTTCTGTAAAAATACTAGAGATTCAAAAACCTATCTAGGATCTTTTCCCATTATTGCTTTTTCTGATCTTAATAGTCAGAAGCTGCTATTTTAACAGAGCTTAAGCAGTTATACAAGTCTTACTTGCTGAGCCATATACATTCATAAGTTCACATTTTGCTTTAGTACATTCCTTTGCTCAACTTACATTCCCTGCTTTCTCTTTTCTTATGGTGGATCATGACATCTCTGATCACTTGCACACTTAAGGCTGCTTCTGAATTGCCCTTCTAAAGCGAGAAGAATATGGCATTCTGTCGAGTGCTGCTTTTTCCATATACTACAGAAGGTCCAAAGCATGTAGATGGGTTATTTTGGTTTGTGGAACATGTTAAGTAAAGACAAACTGTAATTTTTGATATAAATGTTCAGAATCCTTAACTAGATCTTATTGTGTGATCTCCCTCTTAGCCAAAGTCAGCACTGATTTCTGCAGTGATGGCTTTGTTCTAGTGGGTGGTTGCACTGTAATGTGGCTGTAAACTCCTTAAGATGTTTGTTTGTTTGTTTTAACTAATACAGTTTCATAGCAGTTGTTCTGGTTGTGCTAATATACCTTGCTTTCTGCACCACCCTCCATCCCCCTTTATTTGTGGATCTAGCTTTTCTCCTGACATCTTCAGCTCCATGAGTATTCTTCCCAGCCTGAAAGTCTGCCTGGACCTCTCAGCTGAATATCTGATACTGAGTGATGTGCAAAGAAAAGTAGGTGGTTCATTCTATTGGTGGCTGGGGGGTAATGGCACCAGAAGGAGAAATGGCCTTCTGTGTGATTGGTTCTGCTGCCTAGGTCTAGGAGTTGCACATTAATAACTAAAAATGCATAGGTTGTCCTCAGCTATTTCACTGTAAGATGGCAAATGGTAACAATTCAGCTGATTAATCCTGACAAGCCTTCAGGATTATTTCTTACCCTGAAGTAAAGCTCTCACTTGGAGAAATCTGTGTCTGGCACAATAGTATTGGGTCCCTGATCAGCACTGGCTCAGTTAGGAGTGTGCTTGTTGAGGTTTCTTGTGGGTGTTCTGTTTCAGGTTTAAATGGCACAGGTTTTATTCTTCCTGTTATTTACATTGTTCCAGCTTTAGTTCAGATGCTAGACTTTGTAGTCCACACACACGAACGCATGGTCTGCTCTGAAAGTCCAGTGACTTCCTGTTTCTGATTCTTCCAGGTTTTGTATGTGATGGAGCTGATGCAGAACCAAGAGGAGGGCAAAGCTTACTTCAGCTCCATCTCAGAGTTCCTCCTTACCCACCCAGTCTTAAGCTTTGGCATCCAGGCAGTGAGCCGCTGTCGGTTAAGGCACACTGAGGTGCTCCCACCAGAAGAGGAAAGTGACAACTTGAGTGTAGGTAGGTGGGAAGAGAATTTGGCTGCTGTGAGATCAGGATTTTTCTCCTGTCTGGTTCTGGCTTTCCCATGAAAGGTGGTCTCTTCTCCCAGTTAATAAGCGATAGGACAAGAGGAAATGACCTCAGGCTGCACCAGGGGAGTCTTAGACTGGATGTTAGGAACAATTTCTTCACTGAAAAGGGTTGTCAAGTGTTGGAACATGCTGCCCAGGGCAGTGGTGGAATCACTATCCCTGGGGATATTTAGGTGATGTGTAGATGTGCTCCGAGATGTGGTTTAGTGGTAGACTTGGCAGTACTGGGTTAATGGTTGAACTCTAATGCTAACCTAAGGTCATTTTAAGGCCATTTCCACAGAATCGTAGAACAGCTGAGGCTGGAAGGGACCACTGGAGGTCATCTAGTCCTGCCTTCCTTGAGCAAGGTCACCTAGAGCACATTACTCAGGATTGTGTCCAGGCAGCTCTTGAATATTTCCAGGGAAGGAGACTCCACAACCTCTCTGGGCAGCCTATTCCAATGCTCAGTCACCCACAGAAAAGTTCTTCCACGTGTTTGGATGGAACTGCCTGTTGCCTTTTGTTGTATCACCTGGAACCACTGAGAAGCTTTTTTTCAATCTAAACAAATACATGGTTGTTATTCTCTTGTATGAAATACACCCTGTGCAGCTACAGTACTTCAGGGAAGCACAGTAGAGCTGGGTACAAGGGACCTCTGGAGATCTCTGGTCCAACCTGCTGCTTGAAGCAGGACTAGTTGCTAATGAGGTCACCTGTGGCTTCACCTGGTTGCACTTGAAGGACCCCAAATGTGACACTTCTGACTCTGCTCTGGTGCCCTGTCACAGGACTGTACTCCTTTGTAAAGAAAATATTGTGAACCTGAAGTCCCAACCCAGATTGAAGCCAGTGCCCCTTAGCACCCAGAAACTTGACTGAGGTGTTCCTGTTACTGAAGAAGCGTTCCAGAGTTGTGCAGGCTGAAGTGAGTGCAAGTGAGGCTTTGGTGAAAGTACTCAGCTGCCTGGTATCTGAGCCGTGATGTAATCAGTGTCATTGCCCGCAGCAGAACACAGGGGACAACTTCTTGGGATATGTCTCCCTCCCTCCATCACCCTTTGCAAGCTCACAGGAGCAAAAGAGTTCCTGGAAGAACTGGCAGGATATATTTCTGTGGCTGCTTCTCTGAGTACACTCTGTGTTATTAAACACCTGAGGTGTGAGCACATAGTCTGAGAAACCAATTGGTTTCCTCTGAGCTGTGCCAAATGTGAGGACAGTGCACAGTTGGAGCTGAGGGAAAGGGTGGAATTCTCCATTGTATCTGGAAGGCATATTCCCAAATCACAAATCTTGCAACACAAATGAACAAGAAACCTTTTAGAGGAGAGGTTTCTGAGAAACACAGGAGATACATTCTTTTGGCTGTTACTATAATGAATACGATAGGGAATCATCTGGAACTGTCCCATGCAGGCATTCCTTGATTGCTGCCTCTCTTCAACTCTTGGCTTACTCCTGGTCTCCTACCTTTCTGTTAGTAAAATTTGGAAAGATGCTTTGAGTAGCATCTTTCCTGTTAGAAAGAATCCTGGACTACACCTTGAATCCTGTGTTCAGTTCTGGACCCCTCACCACAAGAGAGACATTGAGGTTCTGGAGTGGGTTCAGAAAAGGTCAACAGAGCAGGTGCAGCATCTGGAGCACAAGTGTGATGAGGAACAGCTGAAGGACCTGGGAGGTTTAGTCTGGAGAAGAGAAGGCTCAGGGGGGACCTTACTGCTCTCCTCAACTACCTGGCAGGAGGATGCAGTCAGGAGGTGGCTGGTCTCTTCTCCCAAGGAACAAGGGATAGGACAAGAGGAAACGGCCTCAAGCTGTGCCAGGGGAGGTTTAGACCGGAGATTAGGGACAATTTCTTCACCGAAGGGGTGATCGGGCATTGGTGGAGTCACCATCCCTGGCAGTGTTCCCAAACCATGTAGATGAAACCTTTAGTGACATGGTTTAGTGGTAGCCTTGGCAGTGCTGGTGAATGGTTTGATGCTAAACATTAAAAGCATATTTCAAGAGAATCAATTCCACCTTTTCCAACCTAGAGAATCTTTTCCAACCTAGTTGGTTCTGTGTGCTTCCCTATGTCTGTTATTATATGTAATAGTTAATTCATGGCGTTAACAATATTGGTGCCATATGTCTCTGAAATGCAGAAGTAAAAATGACTGATACAAGCAGTGAGTCAGGAGCAGATTGGGACCAAAACTTCAGGTCCCTGATTTGTGCTTACATGATGAGGACAACTTACATAAGAGTGCAGTTAATTTTTTTCATGGGGTTTATGTTTCTACACAGCTTTCTTAGCAGTGAGACTGGTGCTGGTGTGGAGTAGATGTTGACAGTGAAGTGCTGATGTGAAGTTATTGCAGAGCTTTTCATAACCACAGTTGTTTGCAGCCAGCAAAGGATGGCTGAGCCCTAGTCTGAACTTCTGTCTGACATAAGCTAGTGTGTCTCTCTTAATATATGTCCAACCAGTCACTTCAACAGCCAGAACAAGTTGCTGGCAGTTCCAGACCTCTCCTCTTAACTAGTGAGGTATCCATTCTTTTTTTTTTTATCTTTCTTGAAACTTGGCTGGATTAGAGCAAACTTGAATGCTCTCACATTGAAAAGTAACAGGAGTGCAGGATATACTTTACCTTAACAGGGTGAATCACTTCTGAAGTGGAAATGTGAGGAAGCTGTATTGTGCTGGTGCTCTACTGCTGCTTCTACTTGCTGTAATGTTTTCCTAGTACTTTGTCTACAGTTTCCATCCAACTTCCTGTTTAACTTTTGTCTCACTTCCAGAAGGTGCTCAGGGAGCTGGGGCTGTTGAATCAGCAGCAGGCGTGCTGATAAAACTCTTCTGTGTGCACACCAAGTGAGTATGTGTAGCAGCTACCATGGGCAGTTGTGTGGTTCTCCTAACCCCTCACTGACTTGTAGAAATTTAACTTACTAATTCCTTTTGTTCATAACAAAAACTACTTGGCCCCATAGAAACGTCTAGTGGTGTGTTTAGCATGTCATTACCAAGAAGTAGCCTTGCATGATGCTATGGCAACCTAGTATTTTTGTCATCATGAGTACACAGTGACTTAAGAGTTGTGTTCATGCGTAAGTGCTGGGAAACATCTCTTTAATACCCTGGGCACCAGAACAACTTGGTGACGCAGCTGACGAGGATCAGCTTCCATTACTTCTGTCAGAGGCAGAAGACACTAAAGGCATATTCCAAGAGAATCAGTTCCATGAAGAGAAATCTTCTAAGCTTTCGACTTCCTTTGGTGATTCATAAACTAATCAGAGATGCCTGTTTCTTTTTCAGGGCTCTACAGGATGTGCAGATTAGATTTCAGCCTCTTCATAGCCCTGACACGAATGCATCCATGCCTTCCCATGGCTCTCAAGAAGAATTTGGTGAGGATTTGTGTTAAATTTATCTTTGAGCCTTTAAAGGTTGTTGTTGGAGAGGAGAGAGGCAGCTTTGGGTGCCTCTTTTAAATAGTGTTTGTCATTGCGTAAAGGGTTCTGAATATGAACTAGTTGTGAAGCACAGTCCTTGATTAAACAACATGTGAGGATGGAGCATGGGGACATGTTAGGCTAGGAGTGCTAATGCTTTGTCCATGCTTGAGTGCACCTTCCTAGGTGATTTTGCACTTATGCCAGCAACTTGACGTTTGTCTCTTGTCAGGTGGAAGAGACTAGAGTGACACCAGAGCTCTGGGAGCAGAGGGGACTGGGCAATGTGTAGTGTGCTCTCTCAGTTCATTCACCATTCTGGGATGTGGCTGTTAAACTGGCCTTGCATTTAGGGAAGAAAGGAAGCTTGGACCTCTTATTATCAAAGCCTGATAAAATCCACTCTTCAGCATACAAAGAGTAAGCATAACACAGGATTTGATTAGGATGTTGCAGGGTCTTTTTGCTTGTTCTTTTTGGAATCAAGTATGTCTGATAATGGTGTAAGTTCATACTTCTGGAATTAAAGCTTTAGCTTTTGGGGGAAGATCCTGTAAATTGGTTTGTATTTCTCCCTTGGAAGCCTTTCCAGACCACATGGCTGATCTAAGCACAGAAGAGCTGGGATCAGAAAAAGGATCAGTGCATGGCTCTCAACCAGACCTGCGACACATTGCTGATCTGCCTGTGCCAGCAGACTTCCTTTCTCTCTCAAATGATGCCAAACCTAAGCTGATGACTCCAGATGCATTCATGACACCGAGTACATCGCTTCAACAGGTAACCAGAAATCAGAACTGCTGGTGGTGGTACAAGGGGTGGGTTTGGATTTTGATGTTTTTGGGAACTTTTTCTAGGCTGCAATGACTCTGATAGGCTATGTCAACTGAATGCAGAGCATGCAGGAAACTCTGTGCATGTAACCAAACTGAGTAAAGACATGTTGGCATGTCTAAAATGCTAAGCTAGCCTAAGCTTGTGTTGTGAGTGCTGTGTTCAGCTGCAAACCTGCTGATGTAGCTGTGTGGTGTAGAAATATGAGTTTATTAAATAACTGTGTCTAAGCTGGCAGACTGCTCTTATTGGTTTGCATGTCTTGTTTGGGGTTGTGATATAATAGAAAATATGCCATCTCTGCACATCCTGTCTGATGGGATCCTGTGGAAATGCATGTCTGAAATGATCAGGTAGGTAGATGGGACTGTAACATCTGCCTGAGATCTGCAAAGCATTGATCCAGCCACTCAGTAGGGTTTTTTGACTCTTAACGCTACAGGCTTTAGCTTGTACAGAAGGCAAGTCATCTGTGGTTGTACCAGGGATTTCAGTAGCAGGAAGCCTGTGGAGCATTCCTTGGGATTTAGAGATCTCTGCAAAGGATAGCAAAGTGTCTTGGTGAAGAGCTAATGCCCTGTCACATATGTGTGGCCAGCAGTGCTGAAGCACACACTGTTGGGCCCTGCTGGGCATTTCTAGAGGCTGTCTGGTGGTGACGGTGTGCATCTGTCTAACTCAGCACAGGTTTCTGCTGCCCTTCTTGAATATTCCAACAAGTGGAAGTGCAGGAGCTTGCTGTTTCTTGACCATTCTGCACCCAAGTGTCATGTTAGTCTTAAAGCCACTCAGATGTTCTTGCTTCATAACCTGCCTTTGTGCCTCTGTACTGAATTTGTGACTGTAGAGTTTTCTCTGTGTGCTTTTAGAATGGGAGTAGACATAAAGGATGCACTTTGAAAAACACTTTTTAATTTAAGAAAAGTGATCTGCATGTTAATAGCAAGGTGTGGATTCCACTGGTGAGAATCTGTGCTCTTTGGAGTTTCTCTGCCTTTTTGTGAGAAATTAACTGTCAGCAGTTACTTGGTGTGCTGCTACTGTTCTTACAGGGAAGCAGGAGAGTGCTTGTGAGGAGCAATGCAGGTACACATCCTAAGGCAGGGCTTCCCCCTCCAAGGGAGGACACCATGGTTGTCACCACAGCTGGAACATGTATTGGAGGAGCCTGAATGAGGACAGATGGCACATGGAGATACATAGAAAGGGCGTTCATGCTGCGTTGACCAATGAGAGACCACCCTGGTGACATCTTGGGGAGTAAAGAATAAATTAAACTCCTCTTAAAGGTTTTGCTGTTGCTGGCAAAGTTGCTGAGTGCAGGAGTTAATTTTGTACCTGTGGGTGGGTATCCTTCCCAATGCAAAGATGTCCCAAGGGAGGAGAGAAGTCGTTGCTGGAGTGATGATTGCACATATTCTTTGCTGCAAGGAGCAGCTCACTCTTCAGTTTTGACAGTGTAACTGTTCAGTTTAAACCTGGCTTTTCACTGCTACCTGTTTCATGGCAGGCTTTTTCCAGCTGGCACCAGCACCCAGTAGCACTGTAGGGTTGACACAGCCTTTAATTTAGCTCAATCTGTGCGCTCTGCCCTGAGCACTGTCAAGCCTAAGTAGCTTGGCCACTCCAGCTTTCCCCAGCTGAATACTTCTCTGCTCTCTGTAGGTGTTTTCTGGTAGCCAGAAGCAGCAGTGGGGGCCAGCATGTCCCACTGTGCTCTTCACAGATGGTGAGAAGAGCATTCTGCTTCCATGTATCAGCAGTGCAGGACCTAAACTCTGTACAGGCTCTGGCCTCACTAGACCTGGGCAGAGCAGTCTAGGCTCAAAGAACAAAATGGGAGTCTGGTGCAGAGCCATGCAGAATGCCACTTTTGGGAGAGCCGTTCCTCAATAACAGCAGTCGTGGTTCATGTGATTGGTGTGTTGAGGCTTGCCTTCGACCAGCACCTGAGCACTCTAACAGTACCACTTGACCTATTGTTTTTTCTATTCCCTCTTCACCAGAGACTCTTTAGGAGTTCTGGAGCCAGCATCCTCAGGCAAAGTTCTCTTGAACTCTTCTGTCACACCCTAACTACTGTGTTCTCTTCTAGGTTGCTGTATCTCAAGGCAGCACTGTCAGTTCCCTGACTACAGTCACAGCCATGAGTAGCACTTCTGTCACAGATGCCTCTATGCCCAGGTAAATAGCATGTGTATTAAATAATATATCTGCAGCTGAACTGTTACAGCCCTTCAGGGTGGCACAGAGCTGTAGTGCGTCTTGTAGAGGAGACTAACCTGAGTTAGAAACTGGCCTGAGTCCCAGCATCGCTACAGAGGCCATTGTTTGCATCTCTAGTGCAGCTTGGAGCATGCCTGTTGTCATCCAAGGGGCCAACAATAGTGTTTCATTTGTGCCTCAGAAAGATTCTCTTATTGCATCTCAGTTTTGTTGCTTTACATGCTTCTCCCAAAGGGCTGGTTTTTTACAGGTAAGAGCACATGCAGCCGCCAAGGACAGGGAGATAATTGGGGCTGTTAGGAGAACCTTACTAGTGTTGCAGTGGGTTGGGCTGCATACCAGGTGAAAATTTCACCTCCAGGGGCTGGGAAAAGGACAAGTACCTATCCCATAATGTCCTGATTCTCCCTAGACTCCATACAGTGGGCACTGAAGATATATCTGGTCCCTTCTTCCACTGACACCTTGAATTTGAAGAGATTGCGATCCTCCCCGTTGTGGGTTTTTGGTTTTGTTGTTTTTTTTCCTCTTCCTTTTGCTTGTTTATTTCTACCCAGTATCTCATTGGGCACTAGGAGTTGCAGGTGCTAGTCAACAGGGAGTAGCTGACCATGGTGGAAGGAGCAAGAGCTTGGACAACACTCCTGCTGTTTGGGTTGGGCTCCTCCATTCACTTGTGGATTCCATTTCCTCACCTTGAGTGTCTGATGCAGATCTGTACCATTAGGTTGGCCTGCTTGATTCATTTGTGTCTTTTTCCTGCAGGCCATCAGAAGACTTGACTGTGAGCCCCAAGATGCAGCTGGACACCAGCCTCACACTGAGTAGCAGTAGCAGCGGTCTCCAGACTAGTCCTAGGAGCCATTCAGTTCTTATCCCAGGCCTTTCTGACAAGCTGACACCAAAGGCAGCTATTCCAGTAAGGCTCCTTTTAGTCTTCTCCTAGGACAAGGGATCTCTCTCTCTGGGCCTATGCAAGCTGAAAGTACACTTCCTTGGATATTAAAAGGCCCAGAGTCTGCCCTCTGGAACATAGCTGCTGGCAGGTTTACCCATGTTAATGGACCTTGTTGTCATGTAAAACAGTATTTCTCTGAAAACTAGAGACAGCTCTAGCTTTTGCTGTCACTGTCGCAATGGTTGGATGTGGTCAGCCTTTGTGTTAGGAGACAGTGCTACCTGGAAAGCACTGTCTTACTCCTTGTTGGTCTGACAAGTCTGAAACAATCATTTCCTATTCCTAAATCTTCGTTTTCAGGTATGATGTAAAACAGGTTATGACCAAAGCTTGAAATTGACATAAGCTTTTTAGTCCAGGAGATACTCAGTGTTAAAACTAACTTTTCCCCTCGAAGAGAAGGGATCCTGGAGCAGAGCAGGGAAGTTGAACTGGTGTTCGATTTTCTTTTGAAGGTGTGTTCAGACTAACATTGGTTAAGTGTGGTGTTAGCCCAGCTGAGAGCCTGTTACAAGTCTTGGGGCCTTTCTCCATCTGACAAACAGTGGGAGCACAGAGATCATGTGAGGAAAGGGTACAACTGGCTGTTTCCAGGGGTGGTTGCTGTAAGGTACTAGAGGCTCTTGGGCTGTCTTCACATTATCCTGAAGGCTTTTGTTTGATTTTCGTGTTCAGGTCCCACCGGGAAACCCTTCTCTAGCACTGGAACTGCAGGAGGTGGAGCCTTTGGTGATGCCCCAGGCTTCTCCCACCCGTGAGCGCTCACCAGACGTCATTTCCTCTGCTTCCACAGTCATGTCCCAGGATATTCCTGAGATTGCTTCCGAGACCTTGCAACGCAGCTTTGCGGCAGCTCCCTCTGGGCTTCCTGTAGAGGTGCTGGAGCCCAGCCATCACGCAGACAGTATGGCATCCGCTGCCTCAGCCTTGCATTTGCTGTCTCCAGGCACCCGGCACAATTCCGAGCATAGCCAGCACTCGTTGGACATGCCTCCAGTGGAGGTGGACAGGCTGAATGCTCCATCATTACTGGAGACTGCTTTAACTCAGGAAAATGCATCTTCTGACAGTGTTGTGAGTCAGCCATGGCCAGCAGCTCCTGACATAACCAGAGAAACCAGGAACACCATGGCAGACAGGTAATCGCTTGCGTTTATCTTGCTTGGGGCAATTTCTTTGCACTTGCCAAATCGCTAGCTTAGTGGAAAGCTCTTATGCTGAGGTTAAACCAGAGCTGTTCTCCATCCCTCCTTTCCTTAAGGGATCTGATAATTCAGCCTTCCTATGTGCTTGGTCTGTGTATGCTGTGTCCTGAACTTCCTAGGCAAGCTCTAATAGTTTGTCTTCTCCAATACTCCTTGTAGCATAAAGGAACTCTGTTAACAAGGTGAAAAGTCTGCTTTATTGGCTTTCATGTTCACCCTGGAATAGAGACTTGAGATGGGATTTTTTTTTTTTTTTTTTTTTTAATAAAACCCAGTACAAGCTATATTCTGCCCCAGGTGTTTTTGTTGAAAGGAATCAATTCACACATAACTGATTGCCAGATTTGATTGCAGGTTAATTGTACATCTTTCTTCCAGGATTGGCTCAGTGCAGCTGGCATTATAAATAAAGTACTTTAAAAGTCAGAAATGAATGGTGATGTCTCTATGCAGCAGGCATGCAGAATGGTGCAACATCTCGTTGCTTACCAGGAGCAAACTGTGGCACTGGAGCAGTGCTAGGATTCATCACAGAATTCATGTCCCTGTCTTGTAGTGCGACAGGAGCAGCAGGAGACACCTGGCATCTCCAAAGTGTCTAGGCCAAGGCTGTGTGCAAACACCCTTCTTTTCAACAGGACTAGCAGGCTGAGAGCATCAGTGTTGTCCCTGAAACTACCCAGGGCTGTTCCCTCCCATCAGATTTGCAATAGAAAGGCCTTGCTTTGTGCCTCCACACTTGAGGATTCTGCTTCAGGGAACAGTTCTGACAGCTCTGGGGAGAGCACGGAGGCTGTGTCTCTACACAGTGCTTTTGCTCTTAATTTAAAGTTGAGAAAATATAGGAGTTTGCACTCTGTCTTTGAATTTTTCATGACTCCTCATATCAGAATATCAGATGAGATATCTCTGGATCTGAGAGATTTCTGGTTGGTTTTCATAGGTTGGCTGGTTGGTTGGTGTTGTTTTTTACATTACAGCTCAGTAAAGTCATAGGATCATAGAAAATCCTAGAATGGTTTGGGTTAGAAGGGACCTTAAAGTTAATCTGGTTCCAATGCCCTGCCATGGGCAGGGACACCTTCCACTAGATCAGGTTGCTCCAAGCCCTGTCCAGCCTGGCCTTGAACACTGCCAGGGATGGGGCAGCCACCTATGTGAAAGTAACTGCTTACTTCTGTCTAAAGATCTTCCTGCAATTGATTTCACATAGACCTCGTTTACAGCTTAGAAGAACATGCCATTTGCTTTCAAAATCCTTATGAAACTGAGACTGGAATCACTGTTGCAATTCTGTCTGGTAAACCTAAACCATGTAATTCACACACTTAGTCAAGACACTTGAAAGAACTGGGAAGCACTGATTTTTGCCCCAGAGATCAGTATTCCTTGAGGAAAGACAAACCCAAGACAATGCTGTTCACTGAAGTGCTCTGTACTGCCCACTTGGAGTAGTGGCTTACCTGTCTTGCATGAACATCTGTTGGGAGATTGTTCTTGGTTAGTGCCTGAAGCATAGCTGAGCTGCTTCTCCCTTCTGAAGGCCCCCAGAAAAACAACTGGAGAAATTGGAGTGTTTAGTGGCTCTACATAGCACCTGCTGCTTTCTATATCTGTGCAGATAGATGTGGGATTTTGGCTGGTTTAGACCTTCTGTCAGGATTTCTCAGGAGAGGTGAAGTGAGCAAATATCCAAGCTGAAAGAGACATTCATGATGGTATTTTTTTCCTCCTCCAGCCCAAGGGATGAGGTTGAAGAAAAGCACAAGACTTCTTCCTATCATCGACACAGCTACCACCTGCTGCAGCATGACAGCCAGGATGCTAGTGCAGAACAAAGGTACCAGAGTGCCTAGCCCCCTCTCTCGCCCTGCATGGACTCAGTTCAGGCTACATTCGTGCTTCTGTCCGCAGCGAGCCTTCACATGTGGGGTGAATGTCTTTGCTTTGTTTCCTGACTTCATGTGTCTATGCAGTCCAGCTTCTGTAATGTTCTGATGACTTCAGCTGCTCAACAAAGAGATCAGCCTCTGGGCACTGTCCAGTTTACTCTCTGCAGAGAAAGATTTGACTGTGTTGCTTCAAAAAGCATGTACCAAGCTTGGTTTAATTACCAGTGAAAATGTATTGAAGGATCAGTTTCCAAATACTGTGCCTTAGATAAGGTAGGGAGGGTATATCAGGAGTTAGTTTCATAGAATTGTAGACTTGTCTGGGTTGGAAGGGGCTTTAAAGCTTATCCAGTTCCAACCCCCTGCTGCAGGCAGCGACACCTTCCATTAGAGCAGGTTGCTCCAAGCCCCGTCCAAGCTGGCCTTGAACACTGCCAGGGATGGGGCAGCCACAGCTTCTCTGAGCAACCTGTGCCAGGGCCTCAGCACCCTCACAGGGAAGAACTTCTTCCTCAGATCTCATCTCAATCTCCCCTCTTAAAGCCATTAAAAAGGCTTTAAATATTAAAACCATTCCCCCTTGTCCTGTCCCGGCAGGTCCTTGTTAAAAGCCCCTCTTCAGCTTTCTTGTAGCCCCTTTAGGCACTGGAGCTGCTCTAAGGTCTCCCTGGAGCCTTCTCTTCTCCAGGCTGAACAAGCCCAGCCCTCTCAGCTTGTCTCCATGGCAGAGGTGCTTCAGTCCTTGGATAATCTTCATGGCCTCCTCTGGACTTACTCCACATCCCTTTTATGTTGGGGGCCCCAGGGCTAAACACAGTACTTCAGGTGAGGTCTCATGAGAGCAAAGTAAAGGGGGAATTTCGTGCTTTTGACACCTTTTCTCACTGATGAGCCACCCTAAAGCTCCATGGGGCAAGGTCAGCCCTGTTTGGCGGCTGAGAGTTCATTCATATGCCACACTGAAATTCAGACTGACGCAAGCAGCCTGTATTGGATGGCTGGTCAGCAGCTGTAAGACTCCAAGGTACTGAGGATCACGTACTTCCTAGACTCAACCTGATTTTCCTCTGTTCCTGCAATACTTGCTGTGTGAAGTGCTTTCTGTCTGTAAGGATATGCTATGTGCTTGGCCAGTGTCACATCCTTGTGTGTGTATGCAGTAAGAACAGGTGGTGTTTCCCCAAACTGTCTCAACCACAGTTGACCCAAATGCACATGAAAGTCTTGTAATACAGCACTTGAGCTCAGCCTGAGCAGGCCTGAATCAGAACAGAGCAGCACATGCTGAGCTCTGTGGACATCTCTCTGTTAAAGAACAAATGGAGAGCTGCTTAGCTGTGTGACTGCCCACATGTGGATGAAGAGCAGAGTGTAAATCCCTCCTATTAGTGAAGGCTAACTCTGTCCAGTATTGCAAGCGATGTTCTCTCTCCTGCTGTTCCTTTCTAGTGACCATGATGATGAAGTTGCAAGCTTGGCTTCTACATCAGGTGGATTTGGTGCCAAAGCATCTACACAAAGGCTGCCTGTGAAGGACTGGAAAGCCAAGACATCCCCACAAGCTTCTCCAAAGCTAAAGCGGAAGGGCAAGAAAGATGACAGGTACACTGGGTTTGCCAGAAGACATGTGGCTGTGGGACCAGCTGTGCAGGGCCACAACCTGATTAGTCATTAGCAGCAAGGCCAGGGTCTGAGGCTGGGCAATGGCCAAGTGCTCCCAACCATCACCCTGTTTTACAAATGGCAGTAACACCACAGAAGGTGTTGCTGGTTACTCAGACACTGACTACCACCCAGGGTGTGAGTATACCTGCACATGGCCTCCACTTCTAATTGCTTTCTGAACACTGGCACAGTGCCCTTGTTCAGCAATATCTGTCATTTGTTATCTGCTTACTGCTTTAGTGTATTTCTCAACATGCCCATATGAATGTTTTGTAACTGAAAACTGGTGACTGGAAGGGTCTGCCCTTGGCAAGTTGGACCAAGGTGTCTGCATTAATGTGAGGAGAGCAGCACAGGATGCTCTCCTTTTATTGTGTTCCATGGTTTGGATCTCTAGCTGTGCAGATTACAACAAAGGTGGGCTATGGCATTAAATTTCTTGTCTGTGATCCTGTGCTGTGACACCCAGAAACTCTTAGCCCCTGAAGTGACTTTCATTTTTCCTGCCTCACTCCCTTAAAGGTTGCTGAATGGAGACTGTCTGGGAACAACGAATGTTTACTTGCCTTCTGGTAGCATTTGAGTATTCATAGATGTGTGACTTTGATGGAGGCATGAAATATTAGTGGATTAGTTTAGTGTTTTTCTTTGCTGTATATACTGGAGTGCATCAATAGTTTCTTCTTCAGAGCTAGAATCATTCTAGATGATTTGAAGCTCATTAATTCTATATTTAACAAATGGGCACTTGATCAGGAGACCTTCAAAAGCTGTTTGGCAAAGCCTTTTCTGGCTTTGAATTTCAACAAAACTGAAAAATCAGCATGCATTTTGTGTTATAACAGTCCTCATTAAGCCTTAGTTTAAAGCTCCTCCCTGCAAAGGGACCGGTCTGTAAGGAACTTCAGGGCCTGTGGATAGTGCAAATGATGGAGTGTCAGTGCTGTAAGGACTGGGATTTCATCACTTTCCCCTCAACTCTTCGTGTGATATTGGGCAAGCAGAAGTATAGAAGTATAAGCTAGAGTGTAGAAGCTAAAGCAACTGTAAAATGTGTGATCTATGTTGGCAGAAGACTTGGCTAATAAGGGCAGTTAATTGATGTAATTGGATTACTACTTTCTCTCTTTTTATTTCCAGGGATGTGAACCAGTCACCAAGATCATCTAACAACCTGGTGAGTCAAAGCTGCTCTGAGTCTGTCCCAGGGGCATGATGCTTCAGCTCTATTTGCTATCCTACTAGAGACCTGAGACAAAGTTCATCCCAGTTCCTTGAAGCCCTGTAGGCCCCTGATGTGCCCCAGCAGGCTGAGATGGAGCTGTGCCAGGCTTGGCATTGCTCTGCTCTCTGGCAGTGAAGGAGCTGCTCAGTGCTATCCAGGCAGGTGGCTCCCTTCTCACCTCTGCATAGCTTGTGAGAACACAGAAATGCCTGATATCATCTAAGACACTACCACTCATTCCCTCTTCCCTGCAGAGATGACTCACGTGCACTGGCAGCAGGATAAACTGTTCCCAGAAAAATAAGGTTCACAGTGGTACTGGCCTGTCAGAATTTCTTAACCCTGTTGATGATACCCTCATATCTGGCAGAAAGTGCTCTGAGTTGTGTACACTTCCTAAACTGCTCTGGTGCATTTGCCTCCTTTAGATATTTTGAGCAGGTGAAAAGATACAAACAATAAACGTGTATTTCTCCAGTTGTTTCGTTATTCATAAATAAGAGCTGAAAAAGTGCTCTAGGAAACTTCCTTCTTACTCTACTGATTACACAGCACTTTTCTAAGTATTTAAGGACATGATTTACATTAGAAAGCCTAAACATTCTCTTAATACATGGCCAAAAGTGAATAGTATCTGTTTTCTTCTGTTTTCTTTTAGCTGCCAGAGGTTTGAAGCAAGTCTTGAATCTAAACAGTTGATATTCTAAGCAGCCATCTATGAATTCCATGCAGGGACTTCGTGTACCTTGCTTTATCAGTTTATTTCCTGGGACAAAAGCCTTAGAAGTGGGCATTAAGCTGCTTTCTGTTTTCTGCTTTGTGTGTTACACTTCAGTCCTTAGCACAGGAGTTACTTAGCTAGTGGAAAGCTTGACCACCTTCTGATCCTGTTAGAAATGAATCCTTGTCCTGTCCTCACACAGATGACACCAGAGTTCCAGGAGGAGGTGATGTGCATATTGAGGAGGCAACAGCAGGAGCTCTCTTGGCTGCGTCAGAACCAGATGGATCTGGTGCAAAGACTCATGGATCACATTAATACTATTCAGAGCAACGTTATGGGCCACATGGAGAGGCTGATTAACTCCCAGCAGGAGCAGAGCCGTATCCTTGTGTGCAAATGTTGGTTGTACCTAAGGAGTGGAAGGCTGTGGGGCAGGCTAGAGGCATGTAGAAGGCTCAGAAAGTTCAAGGACTTTGGTAGCACAGGCCGTCAGTGCGCTAAAATTGCCTGCCTGCAGTGTAACGGTTTCAGTTCCTCTCAGTCCCTTCCAAAGGGCAAGAAAGTCAGAATGGGGAAGAACTGACACTTCTCCATGCTACCAAATCTTCTTGTTACTATTAAGACTGTGCTGCAATGCCAGAGTAGACTAGAGGTGCACGTAATATGTTAGCCTGTCAGGCAGCGGCCAGTAATTATGGGATGATCCTTTCCTCATTTTTCTCTTTAAGGCGTGTCAGTACTTGCACCTGAAATAGCATCTGACTGCCATACTGCATAGCTGAATAGAGAGTTATCTTGTCTGTACCCATATATACTTCTGGTGGTCCACAGGTCCCTTATGTGTTGTCTGAAAAGTACTTTATTTTGGTGTTTTCAAACCTGATACCAATTATTTTTGTTGTATGGCGAGTAGTGAGTTCCTTCATCTTTTACTGCACTGAATTTGGTTGTGTCCCCCAAACTAAGCAGCACTAGCCTGTTTCCAGGCTGCAACCACTCAACTTCTATGGCATGACAATGATTTTTGTTTTCTCTATTAATGAGTCTTGGTTTTTCCTTTCTCATCATTAGGCTGATATTTTCAGAGGTAATTCAGATAGCCGTCTACTGAAGTTGGGAGTCTAGAGCTATACTCTAATATTAGAATAATTTTTCCCTATCTGCACTGAATTCTGTCAGCAGCTGAATTCATTTCACTGTTTGTTTTGGATGGTTGGGTTTCGTACTTTTTTTCTTCTTTCATGTTTTTTAAGATGACATGCATCTCAGTGTTTGTATGTTGGCTCCTTCAGGGAGCTGGTTGCTTCATGAGGTATAACTAGCTTTTATTATTGATAGGCTAAGAAAATTGGGGCTGTTCAGCCTGGAGAAGACAAGCTGCATGGAGACCTCATAGCAGCCTTCCAGTATCTGAAGGGGGCCTACAAGGATGCCAGAGAGGGACTCTTCATCAGGGACTGTAGCAACAGGACATGGGGCGATGGGTTTAAACTGAAACAGGGGAAGTTCAGGTTGGGTATAAGGAAGAAGTTCTTTGCTGTGAGGGTGGTGAGGTGCTGAAACAGGCTGCTCAAAGAAGTAGTGAATGCTTCATCCCTGGCAGTGTTCAAGGCCATGTTGGACACAACCTTGGGCAACATAGTCTAGTATGAGGTGCCCCTGCCTGGAACTAGATGATCTTAAGGTCCTTTCCAACCCAGATCATGGTGTGATTAAGCCTGGGTTGCTCCTGTGCACTGTATCGCTCATGGCCACCAATTCTATGCTGTAGAAACATTTTTACCCATTTGCTTTTTATGGATATGGGACTTTTTACTTTCTGGAGTGTCCTGGTTTTGGCTGGGATGGAGTTAATTTTCTTCATAGCAGCTCATATGATATGTTTTGGATTTGTGACCAAAACAACATTGATAACACTGATGTTTTGGCTATTGCTAATCCCTTTCAAGGCCTTCTCTGTTTCTCATGCTGCTCCACCAGTGAGCAGGCTGGGGGTGGGTTAGAAGTAGGGAAGAGACACGGCTGACCTGAACTGACTAAAGAGATGTCCCATACCCTACAACACTGTGCTCAGCAGTAGAAGCTGTGGGAAAGGAGGAGGAAGAAGAGGGGTGTGCTGGAATTTGTCTTCCCAAGTCGCTGTTGAAGCACTTCTGGATGACTGAACACCGGCCGGTGATGAGTAGCAGTAAATGAATTTGTTGTGTTGCTTGGCTTGCATGTGTGGCTTTTGCTTTACCTATCAAACTGTCTTTGTCTTAATCCATGAGCTTTCTTACTTTTACCCTTCCTGTTGTCTCTCGAATCCCACTGCAGAGGGGTGAGTGAGCGAGGGGCTGAGCTGCCTACAGGAGCAGCTAAGTTAACCCACAATATGTAGGGAATGCTGCTGTTGAGCTTCCTTTAGCCATTTGGCATTTTTTATCATGCTTTCCAGAGCTCTTCTCTCACCCTGATCATTTATTTAACAGCATGCTGTTGTTTACTGGAACACATGAGCAATGTTTAATTAGACCCTTCTTTCACCAGAACTGTGAATTTGCTGTTACTGAGCCTCTGGAGGTGAAGCTAGTGTCCATCACTGTGGACAGGGGTGTTGATGGTAGAGAGGAAATCTGTTGTTTGTGCTCCTTAACACGCATTCTCAATAGAGAGAAGACTAGACCGACTGCTGACGGAAGTACAGCAGCGCAATGGGCAGCTCCAGGAGCATCTGTCTCAGCAGCTCTCTCAATCCCTTTCCACTGTGGTATGTAACCGTCTGGAGAGGACCGTTCGTGAGGAGATGAAGAAGACTGTACCCCAGTGTGAGTCTTGCTGCCTTGGTTTTGAAGGTGGAAGTCCCATGGGGATTCAAAGCATGCTGTGTACATGTTGGCATGAAATGAAGTAGGAGTTCGGTTACATGAAGACTAGTCTTTTCAGACTGTTGCGAGCTGCTCTGTTGTGTGAGAAGAGGAGTTGTGGTTTGGAAGGTTTGAGGCTGCCAGAGGGGATGCCTTTCCAGGGAGTGAGGTCTGGCCTGCCACTGTAATCCATAAAGCTTCTGGAGTCTGTTAAGTGCAGGAAGGCAAAAGAGGGTAATGAGTTTGGAAAAGCTGGGAGTTGACTAGAGAAAACGTAACTTATCTTTGCTCTTCCTTGACACACTAGCAGCATCCATGTAAGAAATGCTGGAGGGAAAGCCTTCTGCAGCCATTAGTGTCCTGCTTCGAAGCAGGGCTACCCACTATTCTAGATCAGGTCAGCTGTGACTTTGTTGGGGCAAGTCTTGAAAACTTTCAAGGTTGGAGATTTCACAGCCTCTCTGACTCCCAGAGCTGTAGTATACCTTCCTAGCAAAAAGTCTCTCCTAATGTCCAACCTTAGCTTCCCAAACCAGAGCCTGTGACCATTGCCCCTAGCTGTGACATATCCAAGAAGAGTTTGACTCCATTTTCTTTTTTTCTGGGTTTTGAAGTGTGACTCTAGGCTTTAAGCTGCAACTGTGACATGTTTCTTGTGTCTAGGCATTTCCAAGAGCATGGACACTATTGCTGGCCAGCTAAATAACACTATTGCTGCCAAGCTCACTGCTGTTGAGGGGACACTGAAAGAAAATATCGCCAAGCTAGTGAAATCAAAGGTAAGGAGAACCAGAGTGTAGCTTTTTATGGAATACTGAGTTGTCACCTGCCTGGATAGCAACTCCTCATACCTCTTGCCCTCACCTATATCTCCAGGTAAGGTCAGTATAGCTGCGAGGGGTCAGAGCTCCTTCCTGGTCTCATCAGAAGAGCAAGCTCATTGTATACTCCCCTCCCTGCTTTGCCTCGTTAGCCCTTTCTTTCATTTACCAAGCTATTAATTTTTTACTAGACTAGAGATTCTCACCACAGCAGCGCTTTTTAAGGCCAGCTCAATCAGCCAAGTAGTGAAAACTTGACTGACTCTTCTGTTCTCCCCTATGTTCTCCATTTCTACATTTTTTAGGGAGCAGAAGCTTGTTACTTACCTTAGTTTGCAGATAATGGTGGCTTATGGGAGGGAAGTAGGGGAATGGGAAAGGAGCTATGCCTGACTGTGCCAGCTTCCCTTGCTCTACAACTGAACTATAGGGGAATCATTATGTTCTCAGGCAATCCCTCAGCAACCAGATGTTCTGGCTGTGGAAAGAGCTGAGGAAATACACACTTCTGACACTTAGCTGTCCCTCTCTGGTGTGGGTGTGTTACAGAGACCTCTAGTGTTTAGTCTGCAGCACGCTGTTAATTTTCTGGAATCTCTTCTGTGTGTGCTTGTTAAGAACCTTACAGATGCTGTTGTGAGGACTATGACTGATACTCTGCAGGGGCAAATCCAGTCATCTTACAGAGAAGCATTTCAGAGTGTCGTGTTGCCAGCCTTCGAGAAGAGCTGCCAGTCCATGTTCCAGCAGATTAATGACACCTTCAAGCAGGGTACGCAGGAATGTGAGTAGATTTCCATCTCTGAGTTTTCTCTGCACAATATCGTTGCATTAGTGGCTGACAACAAGTTGGCCCCGTGCCTTTGCCTTTCAGAGTTTCACTGGTAACTGTTTAACCTCTTAGTCCATCTGTGTTTTCCATTTCACACTTGGGAAGTGGAAGTGAGGAGGTTTTTGTGAGTGGTGCAGTTGGGACAGAGGTTCACCTCTGTTTTTTGTAGCCCATGCAGTAAAACACTTGGGTTCATTATGTGAATCTATGACTTCATCTATTTAGTAGTAAAGTCCAGCTGTCAGGATGAGGCATCCTGCCATCAGGAAAATGATAATGGAGTGGGTTGCAGTCCTGCAGCTAAGTCCTCATTTCAGAGGGGTAATGGCTTCAGGATGGTTTAGAGAAGGGTATGGGGATAATCAGAGGTTAAACAGTGTTTGAACAGTGTCAGGCATGGTCAGGCTGGAAGAAAGAGAAGTATATCCTTAAGTAAGGGAAACTGTGCACTGATGTACTGGAGAAGATCTTTCCTGTTAGGAGGCTTGGGATCCAGTTCCTTGGCCTTCTGAGAGGCCTGGCAGGTATTACTCTGCAGAGCTGGTTTCTGAGGGCATATGAAGTTGGCTAGTGCTAGCACAGCAATTTGTATTGCCCATGGATCTGCAGAGTGTCTCCAGCTGCTCTTTATTTTGCACCCTTTCCTCTTCCTCACAAGTTTCCCACAAGTATATAGAGCTTGCCTTCTTCTCCCTTTTTATCAGACCAGTTCATAAAATGTTTTAAAATATAGCTTTTTGATCCCTGTAGACATGATTTTTCTTTGGTCAGAAATGTTCCTCCCTTTTCTTCATTGGCATTGAACTCCATCACTAATGCAGATCACAACTCACACTGTCAATGAAATAAAGGTGGGAGTGAGGGTATTTTATCTTGTCCTGAACAAAGAGCACCTGAAAAGGTCTGTCATGAGAGAACTTGTGGCTTTGTGGCTATGTCATGTAATGGGGAAATTGGAGGCAGGGTTTCTTGGTTATTGTTACGCAGCCCCAAACCAGGCTTGTGTGTTCTCCTCTCTCCTGTTCTCATACAGGGGCCCAGTAATTGTTTCTGCTAGACAACATGTAGAGCCTGGCAGCTGGATTTCTACCCTGAACATCTCTACAGGTATTGATGGCATAAATGTCTTCCTCCCTGCTTGTTGCAGATGTCCAGCAGTTTGAGGCTCACTTGAAGAACAAGAATGTACGAGAACAGGAGGCCCAGGACCTGCTGCTGAGTCAGCTTCGACAGCTCACCAGCACCTTCCAGAGCACCACGGAGCAGCTGGCTTCCTCTATCACAGCCAGCGTCCATGCTGAGGTGGAACATCAGCTGCGCATCTTTGTGGGCAAGTAAGTTGGCAGTTGGGCTTGCGGAAAGATGTGTCAGTGAGAGGTACACGTGTGCATGACAAAAACCTCCCCCTGCTTAGTTGTGGAAACAAGCCATTCACTACAAGTACTGTGGGTCTGCTTATTGCCTCTGCACAGTGGTGTAAAGCACATGGGCTGGTGTATCTGTTGTCCTGTAGAGAACAAAACAAAGATCATAGCTGTGTTGATGCTGCATGTCAGAGCTCAGGGCCTGCTTTTCACAGAGTCCCGCATGCATGATGGAGGACAGAGGGACACAAGAAAGCCCATAAGCACACTTAAGTCTGAACACTTCCTGGAGATCAGTTGGAAACAGCCTTTTAGAAGGCTTTCTTCTTAGCGCTATGTCCTCAGACATTCTAACAGTTTCTGCAGGCTACTCTGTCCTCCCAGCTGCTCTGCAGCAATTCATGCTTGGCTGTCCCGGTTCCAGGGTGTAATCCCAGTGGTGCCTTCACCACCTTCACACCATGAGGCTGGTGGCAGGTTGCCAGGCATTAAGGTTGGCTGGTGGCCAGCTGCAGGGCGGAATCCCCCTGTCTACTTTAAGCCACTAGAACATATGACTGAGCACATTGGGATCTTTGAAGCAGACCACACTTGCCAGGAAGGCTACCAGATGAAATTCTGGTCTTGCATGGGCTATGCTTGCTCCCAGGGAAGTCCTGCTATTTTACCTGTGGTAGAGCAGGTTTGATCCTTTGTGCACTTTGTAAGAGCAGAGGATCCAGCTCTTCGTAGGGGAAAGGTGTAACACAACAATAAAGCCTGTGCTGTGAGCTGGTCTTCTGTGAGAAGTCACAGGCTCAGTGAAAGTGTATTCTCATTCTGAAGGTGTCATCTACAGGTGAGAAAGCTGCATCTGACAGATCTAGAGTGCTGAGCCTGTTTGGGGGTTAACCTATAGTTTAGCCTTGTTTGTAACCCAGAGCCATTAAAGATGGCTGTGTAATGAGAAACTTAGTTCCCTGTAACATCACTTTCCCACACAGAATCCCAGCATCTTCCACATGTACCCTGGGCCATTGGGTGTTAGCCACAGGGCTTCCTTGGCAGCATGTTTCCAATGCCTGTGCCTCAGAGCCACTTGTATTAACCGTTTGGGAGTCATGCTATAATAAGCAAGCAAGCCTGTGCTTTCTCACCAGGACAAGCTTTGTGCAGTGTTGTCTCTCAGTTCTTCATTTACAGAAATGCCTTTGGGGTTTGTTTGGTTTTTTTTTTTTGTTTGTTTGTTTTGGTTTGGGTTTTTTTAGCATGCAGGAGTCCACTTTGGCCCAAGTACAGCGAGTCATTAAAGAAGAAGTGAGCCTGGCTATGAAGGAGCAGCAAGCAGCAGTCACCTCAAGCATCGTCCAGGCAATGCGCTCAGCAGCTGGCACTCCAGTCCCTTCCACTCACTTGGATTTCCAGTCTCAGCAAACTCACATTCTCCAGCTGCTCCAGCAGGGACGCCTCAACCAAGCCTTCCAGCAGGTACATAGGCTGCCTGGCAGTGGGCATTGCTGCTTGCTCGGGAATGGAGAAGAAGGAAAAGGGCTCCTTGAGATGGGAACATAATCCCACACCAACTTATATGGGAGTTGTCTGAAAAGACCCGTGGCAGCAGACTGAGGGGTGCAGTTGCATTCTCATGCAGGTTGAGCCAGAGCCATGCAGATTGCATGATTTGGTGGCAGTGTCCTGGGTTCAGCTACAGCAGTCATTTTTTTCTCCTTCTTAGTAGCTGGTGCAGTGCTGTGTTTTTGACTTTCAGTCTGGGAACAATTCCGATAACACTGATGGTTTTAGTTGTTGCTCAGTAATGTTTACTCTGACCAAGGACTTTCTCAGTCTCATGCTCTGCCAGGGAGGAGGGGAAGCCGGGAGGAAGCAGAGACAGGACACCTGACCTAAACTGGCCAAAGGGGTATTCTATACCACATATAAACTGGGGAGAGTTACCCGGAAGGCCCAGATCGCTGCTCGGGTCAGGCTGGGTGTCGGTCAGCGGGTGGTGAGCAGTTGTGTCCTCTCCCCTTGTTATTCCTCTTACCATTATTATTGGTAGCAGTAGTGGTTTGTATTATACCTTAGTTACTGGAGTGCTGGTATCTCAACCCATGGGAGTTACATTCCTCTGATTCTCCTCCCCATACCTCCGGGAGCCGGGGAGAGGAAGGAAGAGGGTGGGGAGTGAGTGAGCGGCTGCGTGGTTCCACGTTGCCGGCTGGGCTTGAACCACGACAGGCAGTTAAATTTTTCTGCCCTGTCCATGGCCTGTCAGGACAGTGTCAGAGCTCCAGTAAGCCAGAATGTTTTGCCATCAGCAGTGGCACATGGTGCACGCTGAAGAGCAACAGCTTCATAACCCTCTCGAGGCAGATCTACCAGCTGAGGCCTAACCTTGCCTTTGCCTTTGAATATGTAGGCAGATCTGTTTGAGCTGCTGTCAACAAACTCCTCTGGAAATAATGGCAATGCCATGCTAATGGCTGACAGAGGATGCAAAAATGTCCCCATTCCATGCTGCTAACTGTAACCTGCTCCCCTCTGGCTGGCTCAGCCTAGTACAGTGTCTGTGACACAGGGGTCTCCCAAGAGCCTGAACACACTCCTGCTTGCATGTACAGCAGGGTTTGCAGAGAATTGTTCTCCCAGAGGAGGTTGGCAAGCCTTTGAGCTGCCCCAAGGCAGAGGACTGTCTCTGCTCTGTCCTGCGTCCCTCACGTACCTGCTGTTTCCTCTATATTTCTAGCTGTGTTTTCCTTGCAGGCTCTAACAGCAGCTGATCTCAACCTTGTTCTGTACGTGTGTGAGACTGTGGATACTGAGCAAGTATTTGGGCAGCATCCATGCCCACTGTCCCAGCCTGTGCTGCTCTCTCTCATTCAGCAACTCTCCTCTGATTTGGGTACTCGTACGGAACTGAAGTTGAAGTGAGTATGATCAGGGCGCTGGGTCTGAACCTGTGCAGACCTATTTTGGCTGTAGCTTTTAATTCACTGTCTGGAAGGGGAAGGTGGTGCTTTGATGAAAGCTGGAGCTTCTGTAGCCTGTTACTGGCATGTGAACAACCAGTAGTGACTTGGGAAAAGCTGGAGGCATTGCCATGGAGACCTTTGCTGCCCAATAGTTAGTGGAAGGGGTACCCAGCTGTAGGTGCTGTTACCTCCTGCATTGTAGTCTGTGAGTATTTACAATCTGTGCAGCAATCCCCTTTAACCAACAAATCCACTGTGGAGGCAAAAAGGAGGGATGGTGCCATGTTTCCTAGGTAGGTTAGTATCTAGAGCAACTTTGCTCTATCCTTAATTCTTACCGTGTTGCTGTGCTTTGTGTTGGCAGTTTCTTGTCGTGTCTGACAGACACGTTCAGTGGGAGGTGGCATCAGGAGCTACTGGCAGTAATGTCTGTTATATGCTCCAAGCAAAGCTTGTGTGACAAAGCAGTGACTGTGCTGATGCTTGCCATGAACATTTTTAGTGGATGAGTAACCCCTGTTACCTAACCCCCCCTAACTTGTTAAATTACCTGCAGGTTTTGACCATGGCTTGTATGGAAAAATTACTTATGTCAAATTTCTAGTTCAATTTACAACACGCATAAAGCAAGTTAGAAAAACTGAAAAAGAGCTTTAAGTTACAGATGAGCTGGTAACCAGAGCTAAAGCTGCTGCTGTTAAGTTCAGGCTGGTCTCTTAGCACAGACCTGTCGCAGTGAGTGCATTGCCTTGTGCCCAGGCTGTGGTTTAGGGCTTGTTTGAACTTCAGAACAGCTCGTTGGTAAAGTTCCTCTTTTTCCCACACCCCTTCCTTGATAGATGTATTGGAAGAAGACCTTAAATATATCCCTACATAAAACAAGACTCACTGCTGAGGATTTTTACTGTTTAATCCCAGGCTGGTTTGGTTTGGAAGGGACTTTAAAGCTCATCCAGCTCCAACGCCCTGCCATGGGCAGGGACACCTTCCACTAGACCACGTTGCTCCAAGCCCTATCCAAGCTGGCCTCGAACACTGCCAGGGATGGGGCAGCCCCTCTGGGCAACAGAAAATGTCATTAATAAGTGACTAATCCTGCTTATGCTAAAAAGGCACTAAAGAAAATGCCTGCAGAGCTGTGACAAGGTGTCACCTTCTGCACTGCAAGGAGCTCTGGCTTGCAGGTGAGTGTGCCGGCTTCAGCGCAGGCAGCCAGGTTGTCTGGCACATACTGCAGGCTGGAAGCTATAGGCTGCCCTTACGTGTTGGAGGAGAGATAGGTGGACTCTGCTGTGAGTCAGGAACATTTGTTTTCTGATGGCTGAACATGCTGCACTGAGCTTGGGTGAGTGGGGAGCGGAATTGCGCATCTTCTGCCCTAAAATTAACCGAATAGGATTGGGATCATGTGCTGCGTTTGGTTCTCATCCTGGTCTTTCTCCTTCAGTTACTTGGAGGAGGCGGTGATGCATCTGGACCACAGCGACCCTATCACCCGAGACCACATGGGGTCAGTCATGAACCAGGTACGGCAGAAGCTCTTCCAGTTCCTGCAGGTGGAGCCCCACAACACGCTGAGCAGGCCTGCCCGTCGCCTCACAATGATACTCCAGGGCCTGCTCGCTCTGGAGCAGATCCAGTAGTCACTAACCATGTTAAGAGCTCTTGCCAGGAAATCTATCAATGTGTGTGATGTCTCTAAGGCGAATGTCATCTGTGTATAGTTCCAAATAGTTACTGAAAGCTCACTTGGCTTATTTTTCCTAAATAGCCTCTTTTTAAGACAGTTAAGTCTGTTCTTCACCTGTCCATCCGTCCCTGCTTCCCAAGCTGCATTCACTGGGAGTTGGTGGATTTCTTATCCCTTTAGTTTGGAATCTGCTCCCTTGAGTGCAGGAGAAAGGAGGCACATGCTGAGCCCTGAGTGAGGGGGCAGCTGGGGATCTGAGCGCCTCATTGACCAGAAACTTGTACCTGTATTTTAGTTGGGGATTCAAAACTCCTGCTCCCTGGTGGGGTGAGTAGCTGGGAAGACATCAGCAGAGCACATGGGGCTTTCATTAACTCCAGATCTGCAGTGCAGGCAGGGCTGGGGCTGCATCTGTGTGTCTGGGGTGCCTGGAGATCCCCTGTGTTGGGAGAGTCCAGCAGCAGGAAGCTGCACAAGTTCTTGGGTGTCCGTTGTGTTGGAGCAGATGTTCACGTTCATCCATGGTTCTGACATCAGTTTTGAGTTTACACCAGGGGTTTTCTTGTTACCTAAATTTTGGATTTCTTTTTTCTCGAAATAACATTAAAAACAGTTAAATAAACAACTTTTTGAGGAAAAATAGTCAAGTGGGGACCTGCTTCTGTTGCACCGGGGAGGGAGGAGTGGATGGGCTGAGGCACGTGCTTGATCCTGGGTAGGAGCCTGAGCTGGGGGGCTCTGATACCCTTTTTATCTGCCAGCACTGCAAGTCTATTCTTAGATCTTCCCTATGGTCTCTGGTTAAGTTTGATGGGTGCATCATTCAAAGGCGGCTTGCTTGGGAGCTAGCAATGCTTTGCAGCACCCCAAGGAAAGTTCCACATGTGTGTTCTGCTTGTGGGTCTCTCCTTTATGGAGCCAGGAGCAGGTTTCCTACAAGGTTTTGGGGAAGGGTAGCAGAGGTGATTTGCCCTGGTTTCTCCTTGCCTGCCCTGCCCTGCCCTGCCCAGCTTCCTACCGAGGGAACGGGGCAAAGGGGAGAGCTTGAGCCCAAGAGGCCAAAACGCGGCCTGAAGCAGGGACCAGCCAGTCAAGGGCCCACATCTGCTGCTCCTACCAGCTGCTGTGTCCCTGGGCTGGTTGAGGATGTGCTTCTTGCCTGGCTGGGCCAGAACAGGAGCAAGAGATGCCACTATGGATACCTGCAGTATGGGTGACCCATGTAGCTGGTGTGAGGCTGAGACTCAGCTGTGCTCAGCAGATTTCTAGTCATGAGCATCCCCCGTGCTCTGTGACGGGCTGAGATTTCAGGCTTGCCCCGATGTTAACAGCCCAGGGCCCTGTTTCATGGATGCCAGCAGCACGGGACACAGCTCCCTG